CTTCCTCTGCCGGCCGTGCCGGGTCCCAGTCGGTCCACTCGGCGGGCCGCCGGGCTGCTTGGCGCCGTGAGGTCCAGGCAGCTCGAGGGGAAATAGCGAGACGTGGGCTCGTCGGCGTACAGATGCACGTCATTCAAGTTCCCCACCGACTTGGCGTCGCTAAGCGTGCCATAGCTCTTGGACAAGTTAAGGTAGGCGAACTTGGAGGAGGGCGTGGAGCCGTGGGACTCCATGTAGCTGTGTCGACCGTGTTTCTCCCCCGATTGGAGTGTGTTGGTCTTCCCCTCCACGAAAGAATGGCGGTTCTGCTGCGAACGGAAGTTGGATTTAAGGTACTTGGCTCCGGGGCCGTCGGACACCTTGGACCCCAGGTCGCCCTTGCCCTTGGCTTCGCCGGGGCTGAGCAGGTGAGGCAGGTTGCTGCTGGCCAGGTCCACGTTGCACGAGGTGGCGTGGTTGAAGATCTGCGGCTGGTAGTTCTTGGGGTGCAGGGTGGGACTGAGGTTGATCGCCGTGGGCATGTTGCCGTTGAGGAAGCCGTCGTTGCTGGGGTGGAGGTCCTCATGCCGGGGCAAGCTGGAGCACTCTCTGCTGCTGGAGCGGTGGCTCCCGGAGCTCTTTCCCCCATGGCTCCTGGGCAAGAGCAGGCAGAAAGGACCTCAATATACAGGTACTGAACATGAAACTTTATGATTTATGCAATCAACAGGACGTCATTGTCATCATAGTCAAATTCCATTTCTAGATATTAATGGCAACTTATCAGATCCAGGAGTATTCACGTGTGGTGTTCCACAGGGATCCATCTTAGGACCACTACTCTAATATATGTCAATGATAATAAAGTGTATATCTCAAGAGGTCAGCGTAGCTGCAGTAGCATCAGTTATATCTGAACTAATGCGTTTCTTCATTGAAAGAAGAACAAATAACAAAACTGAAGGCTTTTCTTGAAGGAAAAGATGTTTTTACTCAATTTTTGAAAGTACCAACAGTTTCCAATGACGGCTTCTAAGATGGTTTTAAATAACAAACCATATTGCGGGTGAGTTTACTGGCATGGGGCAAAGGAAGAACCCACACAATTTTGGGGCGGATGTGAATCACAGGGCGGATTCAGGCAATATCTTTCACGTCGGTAAACAAAGCGAGACTGGGTGTTTGGCCTTGGTGGAGGTCTGTACACTCTGAGTGCTTTTGCAGTTAATCTTCTCATTAATTAAGTCTAATATCAGTTGTACTGATAATATTAGTAATAACCTGCCCCGGGACTACAGACGAAAACTGTATCTCTAGCTAACTCAGGCACATTTACGTTGAGGTGGAAACTGAAATGTTGATTAATGTGCACTGTCCCTTGTAAATAAATAAAATAGTTTATAGGTTGTTTTATGACAGAACAAAAACAAACCAAACAGAAAATGTCTGAGTCCTCCAACAAAGGGCAAGAGATTCTGCACAAATGTCATGACTGCTGCAGATAATAACCCTCGAGGGGGTCGGTGACTGCAAGCAATCGTTCACATTTGCATAAGAAAAAAAAAAGAAATCGCATTAACTTCTGCATCTGCACAACCGGGAGAGACGCATCACAAACCAGCCGCCGGAGCTCCGTGCTGACCTGCTGGGGGTGGTGTTGTCTCCGTGGTGAGGTTTCCTTTTGGAGGAGCGAACAGGTGTCGGCGTGGGCGGGCCGGGCCGCTCCACGGGCCGCAGGGTCTGGAAGGCGTGGTGGTTCAGGCTCTGCTCGGTGAGGAAGCGCTCCGTCGGGTTCAGCAGCAACAGGCTCTAATGGACGAAACAACACACAACAAAGAGAGGGAGACAGTGAGTCCTGCCGACACCCCGGACCTCACCAACACTGTGGAACAGTCACGCTGCTATGAGTCATCGCCATTATCATAAAAGTCACGCTGCTGCTGCTTTTAATTGTGTCACCAAACGATGATGTGAAACACGATTTGTGACTTTTTTTTCCCCTCACACAAATAAAACATGTTTAATAACCTCCTTAAACCTAACTGTTGGTTTTGTTGTCTAAACCTAACTGTTGGTTTTGTTGTCTAAACCTAACTGTTGGTTTTGTTGTCTAAACCTAACTGTTGGTGTTGTTGTCTAAACCTAACTGTTGGTGTTGTTGTCTAAACCTAACTGTTGGTTTTGTTGTCTAAACCTAACTGTTGGTGTTGTTGTCTAAACCTAACTGTTGGTGTTGTTGCCTAAACCTAACTGTTGGTTTTGTTGCCTAAACCTAACTGTTGGTGTTGTTGTCTAAACCTAACTGTTGGTGTTGTTGCCTAAACCTAACTGTTGGTTTTGTTGCCTAAACCTAACTGTTGGTGTTGTTGTCTAAACCTAACTGTTGGTTTTGTTGTCTAAACCTAACTGTTGGTTTTGTTGTCTAAACCTAACTGTTGGTTTTGTTGTCTAAACCTAACTGTTGGTGTTGTTGTCTAAACCTAACTGTTGGTTTTGTTGCCTAAACCTAACTGTTGGTTTT